TAGCAGGCCATTATGGGCCAGTCGGGGTGCTGAAATTCTAGTACTATAAGACATGGACATCTACAGAGTTTTTTAATTGCAATAATTATCTGTCGGTAATCTTACAGTCTGGTCTGAAAGAGTATTAGGAATTATTTGTGAAAGGAGAGACAGATGGTGACTGGGATCTGCACTGTCTCTGAAATAAAGTTGTCCAGATCTAACTAAAACTCCCAATACTAACAGGCTCAAGCCCCCCAGAGATGAGGAATAAAGGGCATATAAACGTGAGGGGGAACGCGTGAGTGAAATCAGCCAGGAAGTGATTATTCCAGTCATTTACTGAGGTAGAAAAATACATCACAATTTCTTGTTCTTGTCACTAGACTATTCTTGTCTACCAGTGTAGAACAAACACTACAACAAAAAACCCAGATGAAAAGGGGAGCAATTCATTGCTCAGCCACATACATACAAAATACAAGATTTTTCACTTTTTATCATTTATTGTGGTCAATCTAAATCTGCTATAAAATATTTTATATAAGAGGCCATTATTAATCTTCAGTTGTTTGGCATTTTGATATGCATGTAGAATGTTTATGTTTTTTCATGTGAATTTCATACTAATTATTATTTTAATCAAAATGCAAAATCGATAGTCTGTGCTTCTAGAAACATATATTGTGCTTTCTCCACTAGATGTCTCCAGAGAAATACAAGTAAATATTGCTACTGAGAAATGCTCCTCATGAACCCCCAGCTTTAAAATTTCAAAAGTATCCAGCTCATTTAGGGGCAAATCATTACACTGATTACTTAGTATGAGTGTGATCTATCACCTGACAGGCTTTTAAAGGAAATGAGTCTAAATCCACACAGGAAAGACAGCATACTAGCCACACAGCAAAGAAACTCCTCTGTCGGACTCCTAAATGAATGAACGTTAAATAGGCATCATTAATGTTTACTTTGGGGTCAAGTTATTCATCTCTTTCTCTGAATATGATTTCATTATTTTAGATACGTTAGGCCAGACATGCCTGGAAGATGGACAGAAGCCGAGGAGAAAATGCTTTGGAAATACAGCCGAGGGAACAGCGAGGGAGGTCCCACTTCTTGAAGGTGTTACAATGTGTCAGCCACAAACATCTGAGCCCATATACTGCCCCTGGAATTCTTTAAGCCAGCCATTGATGGTCAATTTTATTTTAGCTAGATTTTAGCTACCATTTTAAAGAGGTAAAAAATAATCATAAATCACAGAATTTATTTTTTGCTTAATTTGAATTCCTTCCACCCTTGGCTTAGTTCAACATAACTCTATTCATTTTAAGAAAAGAGTTTCTCTCACTCAAGGGTAACAGGATCATCTGGCGTCTGCCAGGGCTTCTGGTCAAAGGGCTGCAAACCCGAGTGCCAGGAAAGGCCGAGACCCGCACTGGGCAGGGCGCTCGGACACCGCGGAGCGGGGCCCCCAAGGATGGGCGGCAGGAGCTTCCCAGACATTAGCACGTTTCACAAGTTCTAGTACCTGTAGTTTTACAAAGAGCCCTGGAAGAAAGCGAAGTGATGCTTAAGAAATGTTTTCAAGATCCCACAGACCACATGTTAAAAAGCAGGGGTTTAGTGATAACCTGGGACAAATAACTTTTCGGGATCGTTCAAAACCAGGGAAATTCTGCTTAAAAAAATCTATTTGTTGACTCCATCCACGTCCATCCTGAAGTGTAGGGCAAGTTTCATGCTGCTTGTGTGCTGGTGACAGTGCGACATTCCAACGACTTCACAGCCCCCGGGGGCTACAAGCCTTACTACAAATAACCACCGCACAATTTGCAAACTACTAGTAAATTGGCATCCTAATGAATAGGAACAAATGTCTCCATCTTTCAAACACATTATTTTTCTTTGGTTGCATAATAAGCCATTTCTTTTTCATTAATGACTTACATCTCTGGGTCAGACCTTACAACCCCGAAGGTCAGATTTAATTGTCAAGATGCCAATCTTCCTCCAAACTGCTAAGAAAATTCCACAACCAGCCCTGAGGCAGGATCCTTTCACTGAGCAGAAGAAAATGGGCCTTTTGTGGAGAGAAAGAGACTGGCCCTTGATGAGGGGAAAGGAGAGAATGTTTCTGTGTCGAGATTTTTTAATCTTTTCTCTACAACCTAGACTTGCTGTTGTCCCTGTTCTCTGGGCCTGTTTCCTTCCCTCCCGTGCCCCGACCTGTCGCCTCGGGGGTGTCCGATCATGAGCTGCCCTGAAGCCGGGGTCCTGGCTGGCGTTGCCTGGCCTTCCTCTCTCTCCACTGTATCAGTCCTATCCCCCTTCTGGGCACGGCTCGGCTTTTTAAGCAGCGGTGGTTAATGTTTTTATATTTCCCCTAAAATTTTCCTTTGCTTGGAATATTCTCCAACCTCTAAATGTACACGTAGTTTATCTGTACCATCTGGCCCTCATTTTCAAGATCCCCTTGATGGCGTTACTCATCCTAAGTGTAAATATTTGTTGTGCTGCTTGACTTGCATGGGACTTAACACAAGTTCCAAACATGATGCTCAGAATGGATTGGCTTCGGACTCCATTATTGAAACCTCTGAAAAGCAAGATTCAGTGACCTTGTTTTCAGTATAAGAGCATCTATGATGCTTTTTACAAAGACGCAGCGTGTTATCTTCCGTCAGAAGGGAGCAGTCCTCTTGAAATACGAAGGCATCTCATTTTCCCTGCTGGCCTCACGCAATTATTTGTCCGTGTAGACTACTGAAGGAATCAGCATGAATGAAAGCCATTGATTCTCATGGATAAAATTACGGTCGCAAGGAACAAGGTCAAAATTGTTCTTGAAAATACTCAATGTATTTTCAGTTTATTGCAGGCGCTATTAAGACAGTAACGACAGGAAGTCACTGATCCCACGTTCACCCCTACACTCATCAAGTCTATCAGTTACATTCTAGACTGTATTTAAAGAATTATTTTACTTGATACATATTATCCACAGCCATATAGTCTCTTTGTACCTCATTCCTTCCCCTCCAATCCAACCCCACTGGATTGAAGCAGGTTTCAGCTTCATTACAGAAAAGCGTATACACCGTTGCAGCTGTCTTAAATGAAAAGGGTTGCATCAACAGCAGTGTACGTCCCAGTGAAGAGTGGGTCACTATTTGTAATGGTGATGTTGGCGAGATCCTGCATTTTCAGTTCACTTATTCATCTGTAATTCCAAAATTCCATTCTATGTCTTAGAAGATAAGTAATCTATACTGTAACATTAGCCAGTCTAGACTTGAAGATTTTATATAACTATGTTAACCAAGAATGCTCTAACAGCTAATTTGCTTGCATAAAGTAGAACTTATTTTCATAAAACAGTCGTTCCATCCTACTCAATAAGCAATTACTGACCACACACCAGTTCCACTGCCTGAGAGTAATAGAAACCTATTATATAAAGCACACAAGTAACACACAGGCCTGAGTTAGAATAATTTCATTCAGAAAAATAGAAATCATAGATTAATCTTCTCACAAGGGATTTGGAAAGAATATAATTTATCTCTTATGCCATCTTCTTTCCAGCTCTCCTCTTGAATTGCTCTTTCATTTTCTATACCATAATACCAAGATTTTAAAATTGCAAACAGGCCTATGAATCCTATTTCAGCATGCATTGTTTCATTGAATACTTTCTTAATAAACTAGCAGCAAGCTTCGGAATTATTTCAGTGCCTCAAAGCAAAAATCTTCTGGCCATTTCAGTGTAAGTCTTCTTACAGCTCGGTCTCCTCTGGCCCAGTGCAGCCTCCCCTCCAAGCCCTTCCAACTGGACAGCACCGTGGGTCTGGGTAAAATTCTCCATCTTGCCAGTGGGGCAACAATACCGATGCATCACCAAGGAGGGGGCACTTTGCAACATCTATTCCAATGACGCTTTACTTGAGGAGAGTACACAACTGGTTTATGCAAGGAGCACCTTGCAGTCACCATTTCAGCTTCTGGGTGACTTCTGACATGCAGATTTCTTTCATCCAAAGTGTTCTGAACATTGGACACAGGATGGTGTGGAGTGGGGAGAATGTATATTCTCTTGTCCAGGAATTGGGGAGTGTAATATTAAGAGACTTTAGTTTACTCTTGATAAAATAAGAAGAATTCTGGCAGTGCCCCTGTAGGTTCACATGCATTTACTATCGCTACAGTTAGATTAGCAATACTTGTTCCAATAGGGGCTGTGGATATTTTGTCCAGTGCTTAGCAGTAGATACGCTGCCTAGAAATGTGCAACATCATGTGAAGTATGTCATGAAAAGACAAACGTTTCTCTTTTCTGCTTCATTTCAAGAGTTAGGGAAACATGCCAGCAGGAGATTTATGTTAACTCTATTTATTCTTTAATAACTGAAGAGAGAGGTTAAATGGGAGGTATCTTGCTAGCTTAGTAAGACTGCAAGGAAAATGTGACCTCTCCTACATGCTTCATCAGCAAGTGAGAATTCTTATTTCATATTTTACGCAAGTTTTAAACCTTTTAACATCTGTTTTTCTTCAGGAGTCATATACCTCCCTTGTGATTATCAGGCTTACATTTACCTGCTGAAAAAGAATGACCTTTCAGCTCTGATGTGAGCTGGATGCGACCAGATGTGGCAAGATCAGACAATGACCTCACTGAGCACAGAGCCGTATGCTCTGGAAGGCAGGACTGCAGAGGATTCCTTAAAACCCAAACTAAATCATTTTCCATTAAAAACCCTGCAAGTTCCAACAGAATAAAACTGAAAGACGAACGTGCAGTGAGTCAGTTGTTAAAAAGACAAGAGTAAATAGTATAAAAATAAGAGCAACTGTCTTCACAATGAGAAGACAAAGAACCTCCATCTGTTCGGTAAGCATAACGAACAAAAGCAGATTTTCACTGGCCACTTGAAGTTGCTGAAGTTTTCTGGAGAGAGCTCAGATTGCCAGGTCGCACACTCCCTCCCACAACTCTGACATGTATATAAACCCTGAGCTCTCCAAAGCCCACTGCCAGTTCTCTTCGTGGACTCACTGCAACGGAGAGACTAAAGATGATTCCTGTCTTGCCCACATTTTCTCTGCTCTTGCTGGTTGTTGTTAACCCTGCAAAGGCCAATGGCCATTATGACAAGATCCTGGCTCACAGCCGGATCAGGGGCCGGGATCAGGGGTAAGTCAGCGGTTTGGTTTTACAAACCTTTTTCTTCTTCCTTAGCTTGTTGTATGTACAAGGGTACATAAAGCTCCTCATGTATGTTTCAGGGCTTTTCCCTACTTATTAAAAGTAGTAAGACAAAGGGGAAAAAAAAGGGCATTCCTAATGTATATATGTTTGAAATTTTAAGAATTACTGTCAAAATAACTTGTGTAAACTGCTTTTTATGAAGCAATTTAATTAGCAATATTTAACAGGGCATTTCTTTATCATTCAGTTTATTGGTGGTGTTTTTATTTCCTTACACAAAGAATGAGATTTTTAAAATAAAAGAATCTGTGGTTAAAGTCTCCCATTATGAAAACAGCTTTGAAATATCTCCTGTGATGTGGGGGAACAGTTCGTTTAAGTTATGTATGAAAATTAATAATGAGTAATGTAACTAGCAATCTGAATTGTCTGAAGCATTTAAAAATGTTTTGACATTTGCATTCTGTAAAATTTGCAAAGACAATTTATATTTCTTAGGATAAATATAACTACAAGTTAGCCTTTTAAAGTTATCAGACATAATTTAACTTAACCAACCCAACCATTTATAATTCTTTTTGAAATGGATCTTGGCACTTCTTCCTATATCTTGGAAGGATTTTCTTATTGCTGAGAACATCCCTTGTCTTACAGTGCAAAGAAGACTTCCATCTCTTCAAGAGAAAAAAAAAAACACTTAAAATTCTGGCAGAGGATGTTCTGATCTATTAGTTCCATTCAAAGAAATAGATTGTCCCCCGTGCAGCCATATTATTTAAGTTTAGCCCTCATTTATCTCTGTGATTCCTTACCTAGAAAATTACAGAGTACAGGGTGTTTGGATAGAAAATACATTTCTTTTGCTCCCTGGTACCTCATTGTTCCAGAATCCCAAAACCACTCTCCACCCAAATTGAGCAGTGATTTAAAGAGTCAGTTTGATTTAAAGTGAGTCAGTGGATTATCAACTAGTAAAGGTAATAAAACACATGATAACAAAATTATGTTAAACTTAATGCTTATTGACTTTTCCTATTAGATCAAGTTTTGAAACAGCAGTGTCTCAGTTCCAGGGATATATGACTCCCTCACTCTTTCTCTCCCACAGACTTTAGTTTTTTCAGCGATTCAGTAGGATTGGATCAAGATCTGTATCTGTGCAAGACTAGGATCACTTTCTTGAAAATCAGATCCATGTGTTTGTTTGTTTGTTTTCTAACCACCTGGCCTGCAGGTATGAAAACTAGTTGTCATTAGGTCCTTAACTCTATTTCTTTCTCTCTGTCTTCCAGCCCGAACGTCTGTGCCCTTCAACAGATTTTGGGCACCAAAAAGAAATACTTCAGCACTTGTAGGAACTGGTATCAGGGTGCCATCTGTGGAAAGAAAACGTAAGTCTCATCTTTTTCTTAATTGGCCAAGTCCAAAGATAGCACCATACCCTTCCTTGGTCATAGGCACCACTTTTTCAAAAAAAAACATTCTCCAAAATTGCAAGCTTTAAAAGAAAAAGAATGGATGTGAATAAATTCTCCCTGCAGGTCTCCCTGTGTCAGTGGCCTCCCACACCCCCAACTCTGTGTGCCGTGGAGGCCTGAAGTGGGTGAGTCACAGGGCATCTCCCACATGCAACTTAGCGTAGGAACAGCATGAGGGATTGACCGTGCCATGGATTCCCCTGGTCTGGCTTTCTTTCATCTTGGGTCAATTAACCCCCATGCCTCAGTTTCCTCATTTTATAAAAATACAAAAATGGGCCCGAAGAACAAACTGATTTGAAATATCAGGGCTTCTGAGACACAACTTAATGTCTGTCTATAGTCCTTTGGAAATTATTGCAAGTACTCTGGTTTACTCAGAGATTTCATCCGGCTTGAAGTTGGAAGGGTCTGAAGTTTCACCTCTTCCTTTAATCCAGTCAGTCCGTCTAAAAGGGACAGATCCTTGGGCCCAGAAAAGGCAATAAAGCCCGCCACTAGATTCACCGTGCATCTCTTCAAAACTTAGTTACGTGCTTCACTGGTTAACTTAAATTTGGAAAACGTTTTCTATTACTTCGTAGACATGCTTACTGGTTTATGAGTAAATATTGGTCCAAAAAGTACAGCCCTGGGCATATAAAGGTGAGAACTACTCACGTGGCCCAAATTCTTTCTAAGTGAAGGGGTTGAGTCACACACAGAGCAAGTTACTAGAGCAGAGAGGTCAGCGACGCCATCCCGCCCCAGTCTAGAAAGCAGCAGAGGTGATTCCTGCCTGCTTCCCGTGAACTCGGGCCCTGCCCTCAGTGAGGGAGGCCAAGAGCCGCACGTGGACGGAGCCGGCTTAGGACACCACTGGCAACGAAACAGGTGGAGGGACCGGAGGGTTAAAAACTTACTCCTGACTTAATAATATAGGTACAAACACTAAATGCGGAATCCCTTCCCCTGTCGGAGCCTGGGTTTCTTTACCTGTGAAATGTGGATTTCATACTTCACAGTTTCTGCAGGTAAAAATGAACTGATGAAAGTGAACTTGCTAGGTCACTAGCTCACACTACCAGTTGTCCTCACATGTAAGCTGCTTAAACAAGTGGTGCATGTAGGTGGGAAAGGAGTTGGGACCAGATGCTTGTGTAAAATGCAGGCGTTGCTCTTCATTGCCAAATACGGATCATGTCTTGAAGGCATATGACCCGAGCTGCCCTGTGCTTCCCCAGGGGAACCAGGTCTAGGACCCCTCAGGAGGCTGCTATTCCTGTTCATTGGCTTAACAGGGTTATTCCTGATGGGCTTTTTGACCCGGGCATTTTTGCTGTTAGCTTGCTGACATCGGCTGGACTGCAGAGCCTCTCACACAATCCCAGTGCAAGTCGCTGGTGACAGCGATCTCGTCCATGGTGCTGGCCAGGCTCCAGCTGAGCCTCCAGGGCTCTGAATCTTCTTTCTTTGTGTTTCATACTTTTTGTTACCTTGAGGCATGTTTGGAATGCACACTAACTACGTACGAAAGGACTTGCTCTCTGAAATATTTGGAGGAAATCATTATTTCTAGAATAATACATCCTTTCTGGAAGCTGGGGATGTCTGCTATAATCTTTCTTTAGCCATCTAAATATACTGGAGATGCCAAGCCTTGGACAAAGCATATGTCAAAATTCTTTCTTGTTCTCTATTAAAAAAAAAATGTCCTGCTTTGAAGCCTGGCTTTTTACCAGAAACATAACAGTGTCTCCTTTGTTAAATGATATAAGCTTATTTCCCTCACGTAGCTTCATTTTCACAAACACATTTACATCTGTGCTCTGAAATAAATGTAAATGCTAGTTGCTAGTTTCAAATAACCAAATAAACCAATAATATTTATAGAAATGTGTGATTTGCCTTCTGCTTGCAGCCGCTAACGTTTCCAAAGACATCTTCAGGACTTTTCGTGACAGTTGACAGAAATGTCTGTCCTCTGGTTTGCTCTGGGGACGCGGGGGAAGTAGCAGGGCAGGTCTAATGCAAACCATGGTGTTTCCTAGGTTGAAGCTATTTCCCATAACACATACTGGCCCAGTTATACAGGATTTTGTAGACTTCCTCAGTGACACTTTCGGCTGGCATTTCCATGAGAATTTAGATACTTTTCAGAAAATGAAGATACATCTCCCACCTTCAACGATGTGCACAGTAATGACTTTCCTGTTCTTTTTGGTCCTGCTGACCGTATGGAAACCTTGAGTTTGGTGTAGCATATATTTTCTGCTGGAAAAAATGACTTTTTTGTTTTTAAATAGCAACTCACATGACCATCTTGTTCAACTATCAACTGAAATTGCAATTGATGCCTTAGATTTTTATCCCATCTGGTGTATTAATTCTCTATAGTAAAGGTGTTCCTTAGGTCATATTAGCATATATTATAGAAGTTTTGTTACAGTAATAATTTCCTCTTCTATTCACATTTTACTTCCAGGAAGCATAATTAGTACTGGACTAAATAATATATAGTTCATGTTTTATTGTTTATAATATAGACAAAGCTAAGGTTTAAGCAATTTGTAATCCCTTGGAATACAAATATTCAAATTTATTTATATGGGAATCTTTGACAATAAAATTGCTACAGGGGCCATATTAGGATTTGCATAAGGTTCCCATATAGTTTGTATATGATGCTGACTATTCTTGATATTATTTTAAAATTAGAGAACAACTTGAAAGTGACATTTCCCACTTCATTTTGCCCATATTTTCTCATCTATAGACTATGTGTATGTCAATATTCCATGCCAGAAACCTTCTTCTCATCCATGTTTCGTATTTCACTCATACATATGCGTATCCATAAATAGCTGTGCTATAAACTTTACATTAAGAAAATAGAGAAACAGCAATCCAAGATGACAGACAGGACCATAAATCATGGAAAATCAATGAAGGTACCTGGTTTCCATTTGAACCTTATTTACATTTTTAACTATGTAAGACCATATCTTAAGTAAAAACATTCTACTCTTTGAGAGTTCTTATTGTCATTTTTATCATACTAAGAAAGAGTTTTTTATTTCTGTAATTTGTGCATTATTTTAATTAGCAATGGAATAGCTTTTTGTGATTGGAATGGGTTACTGTATTTCCTGATGTGTCTAGTTTCTAATAACTTATATTAATAAACGTTTCTAGCTGTTTTTAAAGCATCATTTTATTTGAGATTCACAACTACCCTGTGAGTAGGTATTGTAGCTACGTCATCCACATTTAATAGTTGAGGAAACTGGGACTCGAATTTGTTGAATGACTTGCCCCAGCTCACACATCAACCAAGTAGTAGAAAGAACTGGGACCAAACTCCATTCTTCTGACTCAAGATCCTGGAACTCTTCTACCATATCCTGAGGCTATCGAGAGAAATTCAAATACTATAAATTCCTTGGTGTTGGGGAAAAAAAAAACTGATTCTAGATTCCCAGTAATTCATGACAATACATAACAGGTCTTTGCTAAATATGTGTCAGAATGCATACCATGGAGTTCCTTGTTTTAATCTTGAGTTTTTCCCAATGCACACAGGACTGTGTTATACGAATGTTGCCCTGGTTACATGAGAATGGAAGGAATGAAAGGCTGCCCAGCAGGTAAAATCTCAGATGCTGAGTTAAATGAGCTTGTTTTGTGTGAGGAAAAGGTGGTGGGATAGCTCAATTTGCAGAGATGCCAACTGGGGGTGGGGAGGGGGTTTAGCACCACAATAAATCCAACATAGAGCAGCCATATCCTGGTGTCATTCATGGGTTTGCTATGGTGATAAAGCACTAAAACATTTCATGCATTGAATGCTGGACCGTACAACTTAGTCATATGTATAAATTAGACTTAGTCATAGGTATAAATTAGTTCAACTTCCGTTCAAGAATGAAAACCCCTTCTATAAAAAGCCTTTCTTTGAACTTGCCTTGAAATGTGGAGCTGACTAGCTGACAGGGCATCATCTTCTCTAACTGAACAGCTCCTATTTCAGAACGTCCTTCATACTGAGACTTGGTTTCCTACAACTCTACAAACTAGAGAAAAAGGAGCTCTTCGACCTCCTCTTGGAAATAACAGCCGTTCAGATATTTCACGCCGAACACCACGCCCTTCCTCTAGCAGAATCTTCTCTGCTCTGGGCTCATGGTCCCCAGATCTTCTAAGCATTGGAGGCTTCACCGTCCTGGACACCAACCCATTAAAAGCCTCCAGTCACTGATTTTCTGAATGTGACCCCAGGCTGGTGTCTACAATCCATGTGGGTCTGAGCAGTGCAAATATCAAGACAAATATTCCAGTTTTGGGGGCTCCTGAACTTTGGTTAATGTCATTAGTAACCATGGCGTATCATCAGCTCATAATGAATCTGTCAACAATTAAAATTGAGTACTGGTCTGCTCTCAAGTCAGGTCTTTCTCTAGAATTTGTTTTTTCAATGAATTAGGCATAGGACTTACATGCAACTCTGTTACATTTAATCCATTTATTTTGACACATTTCTCCCATCCTTTTGAGGTCTTTAGTCCTGACTTTATAACTTAATTTAATAATGTGTCACCTAGCTTTGGTATATCTAGCACAAATGTAACAACCACTTATACAATATAATCCAAATCGTGACAATTTTCAAATCAGATAGGGTTAAAAAAATAATCAGTTGGCTACATCAAATTTCTGGTTGAAACTCATATATTAATCTTTCTGCTGAAGTTCAGGAGAAATATTCTGGAATACACACTTCTATTTATTTCCTTCCTGAAATTATGATGAAAAGAAACAAGCTTATATATTTGTTTTGGGAACCCAAATCTATAAATATTATATCTCTATACATAACAGTATTATACCATTTAAGAGCTTCAAGCCAACATGAAAGAAATGATTACCTTTGCTGTTCTCAGTGAAAAGTGAAGAGGAACTCTTTGTTTCCTTTTCAGGAAAATAATCAGAGATATTTACTGATAATGGTAATTGAACTATTATTGAGATAGCAAGATTGACATCTAAATAGACTAAATAACAAGATCTTGGCTCACAGCTGGATCAAGGATGACAATTTTAAGTTCATTTCCTCTCAACACAAACCATATTTTGTTTTGTGTCTTCGATAGTATGTTCTTATTTAGCACTCAAAAGCAACTGCCATATGCAATTGATGATTCATAGAATTCCATTGTTAAAATTATCAGTTAAGTGTATTGGGGCACTTAGTGGAAAGTTTACATGATTATGAAATAATATTCTTGAAACATTACCCAGAGCACTTACTCCTTTCTTGAACATTTCAGTTTTGCCTATTGACCATGTTTACGGCACCCTGGGCATTGTGGGAGCCACAGTGACACAGCGCTACTCTGACATCTCAAAACTGAGAGAGGAGATCGAGGGAAAGGGGTCATTCACTTACTTCGCACCGAGTAACGAGGCGTGGGACAACCTGGATTCTGTAATTCACTATTTTTTGTTAATCTGATTATTTTTGCTGTTACTGTTTTCTCATTTTAACTGGTTTATTACCTTTGAAATCGATAGAATTTTGTACCTTTCTGTTGTACCTACATGAGGAGACATACAAGGATGAGCTGCTGAGTAGAAGGGGGAAAGCACTGTAAGGCAACCATAAATGGAACAACCCCCCAGCAGGCTTATAAACTAAAAAAAGGCATTTCCCATTATTCTATTACTGCTTCCTTCTTTCTTCTTTTTTGATTGTGGAGAAATGTAGTTAATTTTAGATGACATATCTAATAGAAAAGTAAGAAGTCTAGTGGAATTTAAAATTTATTATAAGCCATATTACACAGATATTAATTAAGGTATCTTAATTGCAGATAAATGTAAATGACTGTTCAGATATTGCCAGATTCATAAACATGTGTGTAGATATTTAAATGAAGCATTTTAAGTGATGCATTTGATTTTCAGACTTTTTTGAGCATAGCCTGATTTACAGTACACTAAATTATGGCTCAATTTCCAAATCTGTGAGACTGGCATAGAAATATATTCCTATTCTTCTACTTGATATGAAGAGGAATTGATAATTACTACGAGTCAAATAATATTTACTACAACTTAGGCAGATTCCTGCAGATGTTATCTTGCTACGTGAACTGTGCGGTTAACTGCTTGCCTTATAAAACTCTCCTGCTTGTCTTCGAGCACGTCTCTCACCACCCTTCTGTTCCTTTCACTGATACATCTTCTCTTTGACTTCAGAGTGGGTCTCATTAAAGCCTCTTTCAGAAACTAGACTCTGCTCCTTACACACACTTCTGATGGCTTCAGCTATTACTTTAGTGCATTTAACCAGGAAATCTGTCTCTTGCATTTGTTCTCCTTGGAACCCCAGGAGAATACTTCTAATGTCCACCTTTTTCTCCTTGGATACACCATGTGCATCTTTACACAAGAAGTTGTCTAAGACATATGCTATTTTCTTTCACCCCATAAGCTTTCTCTCCAAATTGCTTTCCTGCTACCTTTTCCCCATAATTGGTAGCACCAATTTCAGTGTTCGGAACTGAAAATTGTGAGTCATCCTTATTTCCCTTCTTTCCAATTCTTACCAGCAACTGTTAGTCACCCATATCTCTGTTTCATCTGCCTAACAGCATTATTTCTGCTATGCATCTTCACCAGATTAACCATCCTAAAGCCCAGGCTAATCATTACATTCCGATGCCCCAAACCTCTGGGAACTCCCACGGCCCGTCCGATTCATGCTTCACTCCAGCAGTTAAGTCCTCCATGATACTGTCCCACATACTTTAAAAATATTCTTCCCTAATGTTATCTGAGAAACATAAAAGCATGTGCCAATCAAACTGGACAACTTCTGCTCCCCCACATTCATTCTGTGTCAGCACCTGGACTTAGAATGATCATCACACTGTCCTATGCTTTCTACCCTTCAAGGCCTATCTCCAGACTTGAATAGCTGGCCTTCCTCATTAACCCCTGAAAGCACTTTTCTCTCCTGGCCTTTACCTTACTATGTTTATTTTACCTGCTGCTATATGATAAGCACCCTAAAGACAGAGACTTCACCTCTACTTATCACAGTATTACCCATAGCACCATGTATGGTATAATATAATATTATGGTGTTGGACAAATAAAAAGGTGCAGGATGGTTGAATTCTTGAATTTGTTATGGAATAAACATGAAAATCTTGTGAAAGCTCAAATATTATATACAAATATAACACCACATTTGTTTTATTTGCTACTCAAAATATTTTAAATATCTGATAATTTCATATCCCAAGTCTTCATCTTACATCAGATATCTCTTCATCAGTATATTCATTTAAAAAATTTGTTTTGTCTCTAAAACTTATCCAGGGACTCTATCAGATTCAGAACTCTTAACTCTGCACCTGAACTTACAAAATTCCTAAACCAACTGAAATAATATAATTGTATTTATATTAATTTGGTTTGACCATCTGGATAATGCAGTGAGAGAGTCACAAGAGAGTAGAAATAGTGCGGTTATAAGAATTTTAATAATGAGCCACAATAAAATAAACTTCTATCATTTCAATTTTTCCTAGGATATCCGAAGAGGTCTGGAGAGCAATGTTAATGTTGAATTACTGAATGCTTTACACAGCCACATGGTGAATAAGAGAATGTTGACCAAGGACTTAAAAAATGGCATGATTATCCCCTCGATGTATAATAATTTGGGGCTTTTCATTAACCATTATCCAAATGGGGTAAGTTGCATTAATAAAAAGCACATAGCGGAATAATGTCACTCTTAATTTTTTTCTGTAGCTTTTATATAATGTTCCCAGAAATAGTAAAATGCTAGTGAATGTAAGTGCCATAGCATGATCATCCCCTATAGCCAGGGCACGTGTGTTTCTAATTCAGTGGCTGATTTCTACTAAAGCATGATTATGAGGAAGAAATTCAATGGACAGTTCACTGAGAGCAGACTTAACTGTTCTAAAAAAGGAAATTTTAATAGTTGATGTGTTTGAAAAATAATAATCAAAGAAAAAATAACAGGAATTCATCAGAGAAACATCAAAGAATAATCAGAGAATGAGTATTCCTTTATTCACCCTCTGGCCACTAGACTGATTTACATCCTTACACGTTTGGACGAGTCTTTGTGGGAAACTTCCAACAGGGTCATAGGGCTCTTTCAACAGTCATATTTTCAGGGACAAAAAAGGTCAGCTATGAGGCAATAATCAGGAAACCACTGGAATAGAGCAGATCATATTTGTGCAATAATCACTTCTCTCAGAATGTAGCTTAGGACCAATTAGACTTCTTTGTGTGAATCATTGACCTACATTAGAAATTGCTTATGACCATCTCTATAGAAGGAAGAGAAGAAGAAAAGCAGTAACTCAAATGCAAACATGCTCTGCCTTACTTTTCTAGATGTGTTACGTAAAACAGGACTTGGCTTCTCTACTGGTTCTGTTTTCTCTTAGTTTCCTTTTTAGACGTAGCCATATATAAGTCTTTCCTGTCAGCATTCACATTCAGAATATTGCATCCTTCATGTTACATTTACAAGCATAAATGAAACACAGGTAACGGCCTTCAATCTCAGTGGTCGGTGGGTAGCTCTGATTTCTGCACTTTGATCTTTCCAAATAATTCTAGGTGGTCACTGTGAACTGTGCTCGAGTCATCCATGGGAACCAGATCGCAACCAATGGTGTTGTGCATGTCATTGACCGTGTCCTGACACAAATTGGTACCTCAATTCAAGACTTCATCGAAGCAGAAGATGAACTTTCATCTTTTAGGGTAAGTATAAGAAATAACAACAGATTGTCTCGCATCATTGAAATTCCTCCTCTTTTCCTGTCAGGATCTAAAATCAGAGAATGTGCATCCCTTTGTTTACCCTCTGGCTGCTGTACTGATTAGGTTCTTGTGTGTTTGCACAAGAGTCTCTGTGGGAAACTTCTAACAGGGTCACTGGACTCTTACAACAGTCAAATTTCCAGGGACACAGAAGGTCAGTGGTGAGATAGTGGAACTTGCTCTCACACAATAAGAATGCTATTTAAAAAAACCTGGCAGACATGTCACAAATACCTTTCTTAAAATGAAAAGATTTTCATTTTACACATTAGAAATCATCTCATATGAACTAACAGTATTTATGTGGACATGCTGAAGGTTAGTTATGTTTATAATAACTACAGTGCATTCAGCACCTTTATGTGTCCATCTGTTATTACATGTGGTGCTGGACATGCTAAGTCACACAATCATGGGCAGAATTCCCATTCTTACAAACACAGTTTGAGGAAAGTTGGCAAGGACATTGTTGGTTGTGCCAAAAAGTAATGCTTTAAAGATCTAATAAGAACAAATGTCTCTGGTTTTTAAAGAATCACCTCCCCCACATCACCCTGGGCTACGTATTGTAATTTTATGTTGGACCTGCAGTGTGCCAACCTCTAAGAGCACGTTCGTGTTTCAGGCGGCTGCCATCACTTCTGATATACTGGAGACACTTGGAAGAGACGGTCACTTCACACTCTTTGCTCCCACCAATGAAGCCTTTGAGAAGCTTCCACGAGGTGTCTTAGAAAGGATCATGGGAGACAAAATAGCTTCTGAAGGTACTGAAATGTTTTCCTCTCTGAGAAGATTCCCAGAATTACAAGGAGAAAAGGAAGTGAAAAAGAGGCTAAATCATTTCAATATTACCAGCTTCGACAAGCAAAGGCAAAGGACTTGTCTTCTGATGTGGACTATAAAGATTTTAAATGACCAAGTCCTTGAAAGGGCAGGCAGCGTAATTAATTAATTCAGTAATTAACTCAATAAGAAGAATATCTTAGAGATCACATTCTTTGGTACTGTTTTCAAGTAAATAAGAAGCAGACATTAAAAAGGGTTAGCAAGCCTTGAAGAGAAATATTAGGTCATCAAATCTTAACGCTGCATGCGTCTTATGCGATGCTTTTAATTCCGAATGTACGCTGATGGCACAACAGCTGAGCTCGGCAAACCGCCTGGTACTCCTGAGCCAGTCCAGGCTGATACGCGGGATCTGGCTTCTTTCTACTCCCCTTTACTATTTTCAAATAGATTTTACATTGTGGCTGGTACATTTCCCTTACTCCGCCTATCCCAAAATACGCTTCACCGATTTGGATGAGAAATTTTGAGGATGCAGATATAATACGGTTGAGGTGCCCTTCAGATGCCCTCTGATCTTATAAATCATACTGTTCAATATTCATAGTCAATAATCGTTTCTATTTTGGCTACTTCCCACACGATGCCTTAGGGAATTATCTGTCCCACCCTCAGCCTCTACTAACCTCTTTACAAATTGTGTAATGATCTTCTGTCCTGAGCGGCTAAGGCCAGACACTGCCCCGAGGTTTCAGACCCGGCATCGCTCACAGACACGTCTGCAGCCCTTCTGCAGGAAGCCACTCTTACATTCACTTCAGAAATTACTTTCTTACGAGAGCAGGCACTTGATCTAACACATTTTCTAGGACTACACAAGTCATGTCATGCAGTGGATCTTTTCTTCTTCCTTCCTACCGAGCCGAGCTATTTCCTGTTGTATAGTTGATGGAAAAAACGTTCCTAGAACATAAATGGAATTTTAAAGCCTTCAGTTGACCCTTAGGTCTTGAATCTGTATTACATTTCTTAGGAATACTTAGCTCCCCAGTGGAACACCCCTTGCAAGTCACATGAGCTCGCCCTTGGTCTGAAAGCCTGCCTTTTTTGCCATGTTCTGCAGCTCTCATGAAGTACCACATCTTAAACACCCTCCAGTGCTCAGAGGCCATTATGGGAGGCGCGGTCTTTGAGACTCTAGAAGGAAACACGATCGAGATTGGATGTGATGGTGACAGTATCACAGTCAATGGAATCAAGATGGTGAACAAAAAAGATATCGTGACAAATAATGGTGTCATCCATTTGATTGACAAGGTCCTAATTCCTGATTCTGGTGAGCAACAGTTTCATATACTCCCACTTACTATTGGTGATCAGTTATGACGCCTTAAGATGAAGTCCATGAAGAATGATGTGACTGTGAGAAGTGGCACGTGAGGCACACACGCAATATAAACAGCAAGCTGAGCCCTCGGTAGGCAGCCTGCGGGATGGTGGGCATCCGACGCGTGGAGCTAAGGCCTCTAACACCTAATATTAATAAAGGTTCTTATGGTGCCAGAGTTTTTCTTGAAAACAGCAGGAAAGATATAAGCAAATCACCAGCTTTGGATAAATGCAAGCGCTCTGGCACTCACAAGGAAAGAGAGGAGAGACAAGCAATAGAGAATTAGAGAAAATGAAAGTAAGAAGACAGACACTTTCCCACTCAAATTCTTTGTGATTATCATCCCCTAAAAAGGGAAGCTGGAGTTCTTACAGGGTGCCTCGCCACACTGCTAGTGTGGCAGAGAGCTTAGAGAAAACATAATTTCATGACGATGATGATGATAATAATGATGACAAGCTTGGGATGGTGATGGTTTATTTTACAGCCAAACAAGTTATTGAGCTGGCTGGAAATCAGCAAACCACTTTCACAGACCTTGTGGCCCAGTTAGGCTTGGCATCTTCCCTGAGACCAGATGGAGAATACACTTTGCTGGCACCTGTGAATAATGCATTTTCTGGTACGTACAGGACCGTGTAGTTCCTGATCCCCATAATGCACCCCGTGTTTTATTTTGCCATGATTGTTTGCAATAAGAAATAGTAGATATCTTATGAGGTGTTGACTAGCTTTTGCAGTGGCTACACACACAATGCCTTAGCACCCTGTAGTCTCTATTAAAATGTCCACTTTGAAATATTTCATTACAATAGTCCATAGGGTGTGGATGTTTGTGATAGGGGTGTTCAGTTATTGTGTGGATCTATTCATATTTCCAGCACACATAATGGATGCATTAATGGATCTTAAGAAACAGATATCTGACTTTCTCATTTAACATAAACATAATAATAATATTTCAGAATACGTGTATTTGCATCTCAGAATTTAGTAAGGTATCAAATTATAAATAAATGAAAACAAGAGACTATATACACTTCCATATTAGGATGTGAATTATTGCAAAAACTATTTTACATAGTAGCTACTTTTCAAGAACAGTATTTAGATTCAAGCAACCTGCCACTTTCTCCAGAAGTGATTCCACAAAGACATATTTAAATTGTTCGGCAAAATCCAGTAATTAAAAAAAAATTAGTTTCATCTATTTTACATTTTTCCAAAGACAAAATTGTGATATATATATATAGAAAATTAATAATAAAAATTCCAAATTCCTAGAAATACAGTTTTTCTTCTTTGTAATAACAATGTCCAAATGTTTTGCCATTTACACCTTGAAGAGGTTGTGTGTTCTCCTTTTCTGTTCAGTAGTAAGTTTACAAATGATTCATTAGTAGTCTTTCTTCTGACTAACAGATATCGAGTTCTCAGAAAAAATCTTGGCCAGCACTGGAGTGTAAATTTTACCAATGACCACATAAAACTAGGCGGCACTCACATTAAGTGAAATCTATTGTTGGGTCTGCTTGGAACCATCTTATAGTCATTTAACGAAGGAACTCCTAGAGTTTCTAACAGGTGCACATAACCATAGCCTTGAGCATTTACTTGACTCATATGAGGGTAGAATCCATATTATCATTAATATTAGGGATTATCCATTTTCATGATTTTCTCTTACCAGGAGAAACTTCAATGCTTCCTAAATAAAATAATCACTTTTCTTACGGTATTTATTTACAGACGATACTCTGAGCATGGATCAACGCCTTCTCAAATTAATTCTGCAGAATCACATACTGAAAGTAAAGGTTGGCCTTGGTGAGCTCTACAACGGACAAAAACTTGAGACCATTGGAGGCAAACAGCTCAGGGTCTTTGTATATCGCACGGTAAGTGAATCGCAGCAAGATAAAATATCCACATCGGTCTACATGCCAAATGACATGCACTTTTAAAAGACCGTTTTTTACAACAAATATATCCCAGAATTTTATTAGTATTTTAAAATATAAGTTAATATGGTTTTAATACTAAATATTCATGGGAAGATGAGGGAAAACACTATGAGGAAAGTGCACAGAAAGTCCTATGTATTAAAAATTCAGGTAATGTGAATTTGTTTCACTATAAATCACTTTATAGCCTAAAGCATTAAGTATTTCAGTTCCAGAAATCACTAAAACTTCTCTAAAATAAACTTCTGATTTACAGAATCCTTTGCAGTTTACAAGGTCATTTTTGTATAGACAAATCTGTTGGGTGACCTTTTACTGTGAGATCCCCATTCAGCATCTGTATCCCTTCGAATGACTTTCAAGATGAACCTTTTGAGACATGTAAAGATGTCTGGGCTCTAACAGTGGTTCTAATGTACTTTATCTGAGGGAAAATTTCTAGAAAATATTGCTCATGAAAATCATAGTGCAGGTCCTGATGCCGTTCAGTTTCTGCCCAGGCCACACGTGTGTAGCTACAGCTAAAGGGTCCCACAGGAAGTCAGACACACAGCAGCTGCTCTCTGTAGTTCCGAAACACTGAGACCCACATTTTAAAGGATGCAGAAGGTGGGCTGGGCTCTCAATTATACATACATTATATTCATTCAATGATGCTATACCTAAATCAATCATTTGACTTATAATTGAGAGGGTCTTGGAGTCAAGAAAATACAGTAAATATTAGTGAAAAATCACAACAAGTCAGGAAACTTATGATTATAGAGTGTACAAAAGAGTTAAAGTGTTAAAGTTTCCTAAAGAAGGTCTGGAAGAATAATTAGAACCTAGGAAGGAGTGACAGAAAATGTACAAGTGAAATTCTATGGAATTTTCGTGACTTACTGACCAAACTACCAACTTGACACATAGTGTGGCTTGAGGGGTAGGGGAGAAACTGGTTGAATGAGAAACGTGAGGTCAGATTGTGCAGGTCTGACAAACAGAGGAGAGAGGCTCTTTCCTCTGGCCTAGGAGGTCAGGTGACCCCTTAGAAGCGTCAATCCAGACGCTTCCACATGGGGAATTTCAAGTTAGGAACTGGACGGCTGTATCTTTCTTTTCTGTACTAGGCTGTCTGTGTTGAAAATTCATGCATGGTGAGAGGAAGCAAGCAAGGAAGAAATGGTGCCATTCATATATTCCAAGAGATCATCAAACCAGCAGAGAAATCCCTCCATGAAAAATTAAAACAAGATAAGCGCTTTAGGTAAGCTTATTAGTTTCACCTCCACAAAAGAATGAGAACTAGGGGCATATTTCTGTTGTACGGTTAGCATTCCCAAATGCATTCAGTGTTGCTGAGAATAGAATTTAGAACTCCATGCAATGTTTTCACAATTAAAACATGTTCTTAACACTATTTGTTTTGCTTCCTGTGCCCCATAGCATGATGCAGTGCGTGCAAAAATCCAACTGTCTCAACCAGTCCTTGCAAATTTTTTTATAATTAAGTTTTTTTAAAAATGGTAGTATATACTAGCAAAGACTCTTGTGTGGGATATTAAAGGAAAAACTCACACTTCTGTTTTGTTAGGAAGTATGACCTCATCAAGTTTTACTGGGTAGAAACAAAGTTTAGGAAGTTCAGAAGTCATAGGCAAACTTAAATAACTTCCGCATAATGAAACTTTCTTAACAGGTAAAGTGCACTTGAAACATAAAAACGCATGATGAATATTCTCATGCTTTCCGCGACACGCGGATGTTCTACTCCACGCATTGTGGGTGAGCATACCGCAGCCTAAATTTAACAAAATAAACAAATGTCCTCCTGCTTAGCATCTTCCTCAACCTGCTGGAAGCTGCAGACTTGAAAGAGCTCCTGACGCGACCCGGGGACTGGACTTTATTTGTCCCAACCAATGATGCCTTTAAGGGAATGACTAATGAAGAAAGAGAAATTCTGATTGGTGAGTAAAAGTGGATACCAGATATTTACTCCTTGATTTAAGGATCTCATTTCTCTCTCAAGCATTTCTACCCAGATATCAGCCTCAAAAATGTCCACTCCTTCAAGTTCATGTCTAGCTCTAGTTTCCTTTAATGCCCCAGGGGTCTGTGGAGGGTCATTCATTAAGGTTCTTAGTTAACTCGTATGCCATGTTGTTTGTTGGGCTCAATGTTCAGTTATATTATTTCTATTACAAGGTGACAAAAAAGGCAATAGTCACAATTTCAAAAATCATTTCATTTTTTTTCTCCCAGAAAGCTGAATAATATATTGATTGAATTGACTGAAGTGGGCTGTATGTGACTGTTGACCTAACATTGACACGTATTTGAGAGAAAATAACGTGATGAGAAATAAATGTGGAAAAAAATAGTGAAAGACAAAGAAATATTCTTCCTCAGCCTTTATACTACCAAAAATGTTAAAACTAGAACATTTTGTTAACTAAATATGTATTTTTGCCTGCTAGGAGACAAAAATGCTCTTCAAAACATTATCCTTTACCACCTGACACCAGGAGTTTTCATCGGAAAGGGATTCGAACCTGGTGTTACTAACATTTTAAAGACCACACAAGGGAGTAAAATCTACCTGAAAGGAGTAAGTTCTCTAGTGTGAATTTATGATGGCGTTCGTCCACCGTTCAGTTATCATAATGTCCATTTTCCATTAAATTTCTCATTGACATTATCACCTGGTTTGACAGGTAAACGACACACTTCTGGTGAATGAACTGAAATCAAAAGAATCTGACATCATGACGACGAATGGCGTCATTCATGTCGTAGATAAACTCCTCTACCCAGCAGGTTGGTGACTCCCGGGCTCAGTAATGGGCTGTATCTTTTTCAATAGAATCCTGGATATTTATTTCACACTTTGTTACCACTATTCATTTAATATTCTTTTTCATAGACACACCTGTTGGAAATGATCAGCTGCTGGAAATACTTAATAAACTGATCAAACACATTCAAATTAAGGTACAGAAAATTATCATCATCTGATTTATTTCTAATGTGTTGAACAGATACTGTGTGTTTGACATAAGAGACTAGACATGTATACTTTAATAAGTAGATGTGCACTGGGCTTGATTGCTTTGTGGATTATGTACCACTAGCTCACCTGTAAATAAATGAGATGATATCTTTATGGTTTTATCGGACAAGTATCTATTAAAAGCTACCTGGGGCCACACAGTGGATTAAGTGTTTTAGGAAATAGTAAATTGAACCAGATACGGCCCTTTATTTAAAAAGCTTACAGTCCAATTGGAAAGATAAGACATAGATTTTTAAAAAACTACAACCTTTTTATCATCAGATAATACCTTTGCTACTGAATACAAGGGAAAGATAAAGTATTTACTTATAAAAAATTGTCACTGGTCACAGTAGCTAAAGGCAAAGGAAGGGTTTACACCTTGGTTCTTGTTGGGTCAAAGTATTGGAAAATATATGGAATATCATTTAATAAACGTAACTAACATTGGATTAACTATTCTATAATTTTTAAGACTGAGTAACAAATCCAGTTAATTTTTATGCTAAATGGCCTAACAGCAGGATATTGCACAGTGGTTTATATAAAAAGTTCATATCTATTAAATGTAATATCTTCACCACTGTTACCTTAGTAAGAATTAAAATGGTGACATAATTTTGTTAATGCAATTGCTACTTTTCACGGCACTAAATGTATTTATTTTCAGTTTGTTCGTGGTAGCACCTTCAAAGAAATCCCCATGACTGTCTACAGTAAGTACATAATGAATACCTGCCACACGGACGTGGCAAGATGCAAGGAAAAGAAAGCAATAATTTTGTTTGTATTTACAAAGAGAGATTATTGATAATCTGGGATTCAAAACTCCAAACAATGGCATATCACTTCCCACTTGAAGCAGGGCTTGAAACAGTCTGAAAGAGCCCTCTCAGGCCAGGCCACACCCTTCAACCCCAATGAATCACTTCCTCACTTACCCGAAAACACAGAAATGGCAAGATGGGAGAGTATAGCATATTCAGTGAAATGCAATAGCTAGCAGGACAAAGCGGCAGGGGGGAAGAGGACACACAAATATACAAAGAGGAGAGAGAACCCAAAGGCACTCCAGAGCTATCTGAAAATTCAGATGTGCGGACGCAGAAATGACGTTGCTCAAAGATTTGTAGCTCATTCCACCCTAATGTGTGTGAGCTGGTAGTTCAAAAACTCTCCTTATCCAAAACTGAACAGAGGAAGAAAAATCATGCCAGGTGATAAACTAGATTCTAGTTCCAAGATAAAAAGTTTCTAGATTCCAAGGGTCTTTTATTCCTGACTGTACCAGATTATCAAAATGGAGCCTCTATTACTTAACGAAGGAAAGGGTATTTCATTCTCATAAACATAACTCACAGTGTTTCTTATTCAATGTAGTTTTGTCATCCTTGTCTTCTTTCTTTCTTTCACTGTAGCTTTCAAAGCAGAAATTTTTTTCATTTTGTTGTGATTCTACAATTAAACCCTCAAAATGGATCAGTAGCTAAAGCATTACTTCAATCCCCACATTTATCATGGCTAGAAAATTATTCTAGTTTGTACCATGGGCATCCTGTTCTTTAAGAAAACTTGCCTTAATATTTACACTAGTTACAGAAAAAGAGTAAAGACGCTGTGAAGAGCAAAACAAAATGTGTGCTGCTCTTACACTGATTGTAGTCAAGTAAATGTAGTTTGAGTACCGGGCCAGCGCAACGTTGTTTCCAAGACTCGGTTGGAACAGTTACAACTCAACATGGTATAAATTCCAGCATGGAAGTATGTAATCTTGTTAAAGAAATATTTTACATCAAATTAAAGAATCCTCATGGGCTCTATTCATCAGAACTGTTATGTCACCCTTCTCCACTGAAGATGAGTATCTGTATCCATGTCTTTATCTTTCCCACTTTATCCATGATAGGTCCACCACTTTACATATATGTCAGTGCAATATTTTGCTTACAGGAACAAAATATTACAATTCCTTTATTTTATTAAATCCCCATGAAAGCTGCATCTCACTCACAGAGAATAAGTTACATATTATGGAGTTAGGCCGGTTTAATCTTGCCTACCACTCAGAGCTCTTAAACAGCTCTGAGATTTACCTTCCAGCAAACATACCAGGTGTTTCTTTAACTCCTCCCACCTAGACATGCTGTTATTTAGAAGCATACTTCAAATAAAGGCAGAGAGTAACCGAACCAAAGATTCCCTTTTTATGTTCCTTTATTGACCTGTCTCTGAAATTTCTTTCACTTCCTTACAACATAATATTCCTGTCCCCCAAATACCAGACACTTTAAGTTGCATGGTAAAGAAATGCACTTTAGTATATGTTGTCAAATATATACGATTTGAGGTGGACTGGAATAAAATCAGTATTTAATCCTTAATCATGCCAGGGCCTGTCAAAACTATTCAAGTCTTCAGAAAAGCAAGACTGAAACAAAACTACAACCACCTAAACATACTGTACTTCAAGTTCCTTCACAGGAAGTAAAAATTAAAGCTAAAAGTAATTAGCCCATTTTCATAGTAGCAGCAGAGGTCTCTGGATTTGACCTTCATGGAAGTTTCCTCTGTGGCAAGATCCCTGTGGAACCAATAATTGGATGCACAGATCTGCTATATTTCAGAGCTTCATAATTTGCAATCTCAAGATAGAAAATCTGATTTGACTGACGGAGTCACAGTTAAGGCGTAGAAGCCATATTAATTTAAAAAGTTGACACAGCTAAACATTTCGGAAAACAGAGGTGACACTGTGATAGAAAACCCAACTGTGCTAGCATCTCACCTTGAATGTGTCAACACCACCTGTTGTGATGGTTCATTTAGCATTAGTACAGCCCATTACCTAATGGAACCATCTCTTAAGGCTTCTAACTAGAAATAGCAAAGAGCCAGTAGCCCTTGTTGTATGGCTACAGAAGCATATTTCTAATTGATCTCTATGATCAAAAGCCAACCAGTGAGCTGGCTGATATTTTCAATACATTTTGCACATGATTGTCTTAGTTGGGTGGATGACATTAATTTAAAATACATACCTTTAAATTTTAAAAATGATAACGGTGATGATAAAGTTGAAAGCTAAAGACATTTTAGCTAATAACTTAAATACGGATCATGTCATGTTTGTTGCATAGAGCTCATTATCTTGCTGGCTGAAATTTGTTTTTACTTTTAATCGTTCTGAACTAGTTTTCCTATTTTCCTATCAATATCACTGTCATTGAAGGCATGAACAGCATCTTGAGTCTTTTTCTTTCTATTTTTTTCCTCCTAACTGAGAAAGAACGCAATGATGCAATTTTAGATATGATGAATTACATGAAATTAATCATGTTTGTTTGTCTTCTGTTACTATGCAGCCAATATTTTCAAGAAGTACCAAAGAAGGTAAAGAGCTTTAGTGGTGCAGTTCAAAATCATAGATTTCTAGATAGAATTCCTCACTTAGTGAGTATGTATTTCACTGGAACAAATCCAAGTCACTGGACTTCCGAATTCGCCATCTGGACATGAGAAGATCCTAGATGGTGTACCATGCATATTTTCTAAATCTGACTGCCTGAACATGACACCACATCTGATACCTCAGTACCCACTAAAATAAAAATAAAAAAAAGGACAATTTTGTTCAGGTTGTTTGATTATAAATATCATTTATGTTCCACTTTCTATGCTTTCAGCAACTAAAATTATAACCAAAGTTGTGGAACCAAAAATTAAAGTGATTGAAGGCAGTCTTCAACCTATTATCAAAACCGAAGGTAAAAATTAATGTTGTACATGGTCCTTGTAATAGACTTATTCCTATGAATGTATCTACATTCTTTTTGAAACTAACATGCTAAATATTTCTACATCGATGGCATGCTCAAGTAATTGCAGAATGCAAATTATTTAGAAAAGTAGATGGTGTACTCCTAAAACTTTCAGTACATTTGCTTGTACCTGACTTCATTTGAACCTAATTGGCCGCTGCATTACCACTAGTACCCAGATATTCAATGAACGAGTGAACCCTGAGCATTTTACTAAGTGACTCCTTCGGAGGCTACACTCTGTTTTCACTTTATTTCCATTCTGCCCACATGGGTCTCTCTTGTGCTGTTACAAGAAGCTATTCCAAAAAAGTGCAGGCATTTTTCATCCAACCTAAGAGAGCATAAAAGCTGCACACCAGTGAAAGCTCTTAAAATTATAGCCACACGTGATACATTTTTTAATTAGTATACCAGAAAAAGAAGAGGGAATAAGTAGCTGGGTGTAGGGAGTCAAACCTTACAACCCTTAAGTCCTGAACTTACATATATAAGAATATACATCTTCTTATAGACATAAAATGTATATATTAAATAGGTACATATATCCTTCTCTCCTGATGTTTCAGACTAGAACATTAAACAAGCAGTCCCTTTTTTCTCTACCCCTCCCATCTGTGTTAGCCGACCCCAACTATCTTTGATGTCACCTTCATTTAATGTATCTTAATTATTATGACAGACTTTAAGAATTTTTTTTCATATCTAAGTATTTTTATGTGACTTGCTTCAGAGAAAAGACCATATTATCTTCTACATTTTGCAAGAACGATAGAAAAACAGTCTTCCAAGTGAAAGAATAGATCATGTTCTCAACTGAATCTCAAGAAAACCATTTTAATTACCTTTGACTTTCATATTTCTTCTCATTCATGAACTGAGATGGTGATTTCTTCAATACTTTTATCTACGTCTGTAAAAGCGAGCCTTAACTTAAAACTTAGATGTTGGAAAACTCATAGATAAAAGTTTATTTTCCAGCAGTTAGTTACCTATTTTTCTTCATTGATGTGTAATTGAGGTATTATTTGAAATCTGTACCTACTTATTTTTTTTAATGTTACACCTATGGTCATTTGACTGCTTTTAAATATTGATGAAGAGAATTTTAGGAGAAATTAGATCACAGACATTTCTGAGAAAAATGTTTCTTGGTCACTTTAGTGAAAAATGATCAAATGGCCCTTTGTAATACAAGGGATTTTTAAATTCTGCTGTTTTTAAAAATTAGATACATTAAAATTCGTATAATCACTCATACAAAGTTTCTATAATTGAAATCACTCCCATATGCTGTTCTTATTTTCAAAGATTCCTACCTTTTCTGTCAAGCTCCTTCAGCCCATCTGCCTGCCCAGTCTTTGCCAGAGGAATTCTATTGCATTCATCTTTCTTCAATTAGGAACATCGGTGGAGCGTCAGTTCTACCCCGGTTCTTCTATAAAGGGAACGAGCATATGCATTAATAACTCTCCAAAAATTCAGAAGTTTTACTTCTATGTAACATAATGAAGGAAACAAATATTGATCTTGGCAACCAGTTACAATTGTCCATAATAACTCTCCAAAAATTCAGAAGTTTTACTTCTATGTAACATAATGAAGGAAACAAATATTGATCTTGGCAACCAGTTACAATTGTCCAGATCTAAGATTGCTACTGGCATTTCCTTCTCACTGAACTGTTGCAGAATTCAAGGTGACTTGAATTCTTACTAAATATACTAGACTCCAAAATACAATGTGAAGATGTACTTAAACAATTTTTAGAATCAAAAATAAATCAAGTGAAATTCAATTAACAAATACTTACTGAGCACCCATTATTGTGCTGGGCATTCTCTTAGGTGCTGGGAGTATATATGAAAAAAAAAAAACCTGATAAAAATCCTTGCCTTCTCAGAGTATAATGACAAGGGATATTTAGAATTTAAGCTCTTCTAAAGAAATGCCTATTTGCTGCATATTTTATTAACCAATACCGTGTTCATGAACTTCTTAGGTGTTCATGAACTTCTACACCCTAAAAACTTTACCCTACGTTTGACACTCAATGTCCCTTGGTCTCAAAGATCAAGTATTATGATATGAAATATTTATTGTTTGAAAGAACTATACTCTTGTTTTCATTATTTTAGGTTATTCTAGACTATGAGTTCTGGGTAATGGTGTACATTTCTGTACAATTTCTGGACAAGTGAATAAATCCTCTCAAAGATAAGCAAATATAGTTACATTCGACTACTGAAGGGTGTTACAGTATGAGTTAAATGTACTGAACTTATTTCCTCCCCTCTATGAAATAGTCTTGTTTAACTAATGTAGTAATCACCTTTCTAACATTCAAAATGATTCTCTCATTTCATCTTTCAAAATCATTTTGCCAGTTAAATGTAACTTGTTTAACTTTTGCATTTGAAGGACTGTTTAATTAATTCATTCATTAATTTTTGCTTCATTTACATGTAGAAGGTAAGTATTCAAATCCATATGCCCATAAAATCTGAAATTCAGTATCCTAAAGGTATGTATAAAGCTGAGATTTTTTAATGTTCAGTCTTATGCGCATTTGATTAAAAAGTGTAAGAATGAATAAAAATCAAATTTAAAAATGTAATATGTAAAGCATAACAGACTATTGTCAGTATGGTAAATAAGAGCTACTCATTATCAGAGCAAGTCAAATTTATACATACATACTGTATGACTCACAAAGGATAGGCACATATAATATTTTCTGTGACCATACTTTACAACTATGAACTAATAGATGGACTTAACCATCAGTTTAAATGCTAAAGCAGATGAAAGTTATTTTATTAATACACCCATAGACTGAGTCATTTGTTCTCATAAACACCACCTACTTTGAAAACAATGGGAATTGTTTAAAACATATTTCATAATTCCTGAAAAGTACTTTGACATTTGAGTGATACCAAATGTTGAAATAAGTTTCCTATTCTGCTAAATTTAAAGGATTGCTTTAACATGATAATTTTTCTCCTAAAACAATGCTTCAGGACCCACAATAACAAAGGTCAAAATTGAAGGTGAACCTGAATTCAGACTGACTAAAGAAGGTGTAACTGAAGTGATCCGTGGAGGTGTGTGTGTGGACCCTAAAGTCTAGTTAGGTTCATTGTGATTATCTTAAAATATTTGAAATGTATTTGTTGGTCTAAATACATTGATCATCTGATTTTTTTCTTTGCGCTTTTGTTTTATATAAATTAGGGGAATAATTTTCTCAATTATGAGTTTTTATTACCCAGGGAAAACATAGCTTGTTTTTTAATGTATCTAATGGGAATTAAATTAACCATTAAGTCACCAGGCCCAACAAAATTGTCATTACTCTGCATATGCAAGTGATGATTATGAAATATAATAATAACAATAATGTCAACACAAAAGAATAATGTCAACTGACTAAGAAACTACTGTTAGGACTTAATATAGGATTCCCGCTGCAATGGCATGTATTTCCCTGAATTCACACTGAATCGTCATTCCCGTCAGGAAATCCAGTCAGAAAACAAGTAGACAGAGAAAATTAGCTTGTCAAACGGTCCTCTCCATAACCCAGGACTCAGGACACAATCACTACCTTTTAGGTCTCTGTTGGAATTTATTTGAGATATGTTTCCAAAATGATTTTGATTGCAATCTAAATGGTATTGCTTTAAGAAATAGACCTAATCATTAAAATGTCTAGCTTACGGAAGTTCAGATACCATAAGGAGATCGATCAAATGCAGTTTTCCTCCCCTACTTTCAGAACCAATTGTTAAAAAATACACTAAGATCATTGATGGAGTGCCTGTGGAAATAACTGAAAAGCAGACAAGGGAAGAACGGATCATTACAGGTAACCTTTAATCCGTCCGTATATGGCATTATAGCTGGGCTAAAAAGTTCAAGCCACAGTTAATTCTAAAATATCACCGTAAGACTCATTAGAAAAACTAAGTCATTTTAATGGCGGTTACTCACTTATTTTTTGGCAGAAATTATATAATCTGTTTTCCTCTGAATTAAGAATTTGTGGACAAATGTATCCACGAGTGTTTTTGTTATGTGTAATGCATACCTGTTACATAACATACTATCTTCACCTTGCAGTTTGTCAATGAGTTACTGAATCCTAGAGTAAAAGTCATTCCCTCTTTTGATTTTTCCATTAAGCTTAAGGTCACCATATCTATATACCAAAAAATACACAAGTTTATATATGACAATGGATCAATGATTTTAGTATGCCTCTGTATCAGTCTCCCACCAATGAATTGGCCTAAATTCTGAATTCAGCTATTTTATACGTATTTGTTTAAACAAGAGTCAGCAACTGCAGCCCATGCCTCCTGCTTGTGTAAATAAAGTTTTATTGGAACACAGCACGGCTATTCATTTACACAGTGTCTATGGCTATTGCCACGCTGCAGTGACCATGCGGCCCACAAAGTCTAAAATACTTCCCAGCTGGCCCTTTACAGAGGAAGCCTGCCTATTCCTGTTTTAGACCATCTTAAAATTGTCTTTCCTTTAGGTCCTGAAATAAAATACACGAGGATTTCTGCCGGTGGAGGAGAAACAGAAGAAACTCTGAAGAAATTGTTGCAAGAAGGTCAGCATGTCTAGAACAATAAGAACGTGACCTTACTTAAGCTGTCTGTGTCCAAGTCCCGAAGAGTCTTGGGCCTTCGGCATATTTCCTACTCCATCTCATTCCTTGTTTAAGTGCCGTACCAGGGTAACAAAAACGTCCACAGGGGATGAAACTCAATGACAGCTACAGTGATTGTTTTGTTATGTATTTGTTATGTATTATTCAACAGCTTTATAAGAAATTTGGTTTATCAAAAACAGAACTAAAAACTCAGAAAGAACTGAGCATTGGTTTAGACTTCATTGCTGGGCAGATGCCATCATCTGTCACAACAAGTGTCCTGTCCTGTATTACATAAACCAATCTCTGCTATAAACGTGTATCCTCTCAGAGGTCACCAAGGTCACCAAATTCATTGAAGGTGGTGATGGGCATTTATTCGAAGATGAAGAAATTAAAAGACTGCTTCAGGGAGGTTAGTAAAGGGGAAACAACGACTAACCCACCTAACAGGGTTCTGGTGACAGAGATCTTCAACTTTTTAAAGACTGAACATTCAGACTTTTAAGTAGGTTAAAAGGACAATATTATGTGCAGGCTTAACAGATGGATTTGTTCATTGGTAGTTCAAGTGATTAAGAAGAAATGATTACTAGGGTAAACAGTCTTTAAAAAGTTCTATGGTATGAAGCTTGGGGAGCAATGAATATTTTTTTTTTTGCTCTGATACAGATAATTGCAAGGATGTTTTAAGTATGTGAAAGGGGAATACTTTAAATACTTTTTCAATTGGTAGTAGTTTAAAGAAGGCCAAATTGACATACCTTTTATATTTAAAAAAAAATTATTCACTGCCCCCACAACAATAATAAAAGGCATGTTTATGGATTTTTCTTTTAAGTGCATAGACCTAGCAAAAAAAGTGCATTTAGTGGTTCTCTTTTCCAAAACTACATTCTTGGGAATGAGTATCTGTTCTTTCTAACAGTTTGAGTGATAATCTATGCCTGGAGATGTAAATTATTTTGCACATGAAATTAATCTTAATCTTTAAAGTATGGAATGTACTCTGTCTATGGCATGAAAAGGACTTACTTTTAAAAGCAAACAAGAAAAAAAAGAATTCAAAACCATATACAAACTCTGGTAATTATTTGAAGAAATAATAAATGCTAGTAAAATATAATTTGGGAAATTGGCATTTGAGTAAACGAATTTCCAGTTCATCTTATTAAGAGCAAAAGTATTTAGATGACAAATTATTTTATATAAATAAGTACTTAAATTTAGAAACCAAATACGCTCCTTGAAATACACTATGAATTGAGAAATACAATTGAATTTTGATATTTACCCAAATTATGGTTCAGGTGGCTTTTCTGCTTAAATTGTATCATTACACTCAAGAAGATGTAAATTCTCTTGGGATACTGTATATTTTTGGCAATTATTATTTCTCTATTCTTTATTTTAATATAGGTTAAAATCTCTTATAATGTGGAGACTGTTCAGTAATAGCAAAAATAAATAATTTTTATTCAACCAGTGGTTGAATTTCTCCTCAATATAAAGATATGTATCTGGAAAATACAAGATTTCCTTTTGGACTGACAGGAGTATGTTGCAGAGCTAAAGCTATAATACTACCAAGGATTCCTGTATGATTCATACAGAATTCACAAATGCTTAGCTCTGTGCTAGGAAAATGTAGGGATTTGAGAAGAGGCCAAAACATTACAAAGACTAAATTGAATTCTTTTTTTTTTATAGTCCCTGCCATAGTAAACAGCTTTGTAGTATGGCAGTGCTTTTTAGAGAATGAGTCAATTAGTAGCTGCACTTGTATATATATATATATTGCTTACATTTATTTAGGCTTCAACTGAAGGTAAGTGTGTTTTCTTCCTTTTAAATGAGCCTCTGTTAACAAGTTGATTATAAACAATGAACTAGGTACTTCAGAATGACTTCAGCCAAGAGATACACCTGCCACAAGTGAAGCATATGATACTCTAGTTTTCAGGGTTCCTTAACTCCTGTTTCTTTTTATCCCAGAGGCTGACTTATTTAGTTCCCAGGATTTGGCCTCTCTACAGAGCTATAAGGCATCAGTTTCCACAATGACACATCATAAACTATTATCAAAATATTTGCAAGGTTTTGCTTCTCATAGGGAAAAACCACATAAACAATATAGTCACTAGTATCTGGACATGAGTCGGACATGCTCGTTTTCTATCTTCCAGTCCTATAAAAAAAAACATTGGGTCATCACGAGTTACAAATGTCCTCTGGTCTAGATACTAAGAGACAGCGATTTACAAGGAAGTTGGTGTAAATAAAGATTGTGTCATGCAAGACTGGCTATTTTTTCTTTCAGAGTATAGATAATGAATCTATATCTAAACCATGGTCTTCACCTTAAAGCTTGTAGTATTCTATGTTGTGAACTGCTCACATGAGGGTACATAATAGTACATTTTGATGCACTGAGAATTTTCCTCAGTCACTGAAGTCAGGACCATTAATACGGCTAAGTGACTCTTTCGTACTAATACTGTTGACTTGTCACTGAAATACTTGAGAGTGATTGAGAAATGTTTTCATGAAATGCACAGAGTTTTTTGTGCTTATCTTAGGTGGAATTATATTTGCTGAAACTGCCAAAGCTCTTAGAAGAGAATATCAGGCTTTGGAAAAGGGAATGGCAACAAAAAAAATCATTTTAGAAGGTTTTGGAAAACCTGCTGATATAACATGTAGAAAACAGGGAACCAGCCTATAGGTCTGTCTTCCAATCTGAGATCCGACTCAGCCTAAATGAAGTAAAATGACTCTTTTCTGCTTCGGTGCTTCCCTCTGAAAAGTGGGGCTTATAGTGTTACCTACCTCTAAATGTGTTCATATATGAAAAGCACTTGGAATATGCTTGCTGCATATAAACTCTCAGTCGTGCTAGCTGTTATCATTATTATGGGTGATGAGCATTAACATGGTCAATGAAATAACCTTTTACACCCTATTTTAAATTCCAAAGTTATGCCTACATCATGAAATGCAAAAATCTTGAAATTAGTGGGCTGAAGCACTTTGCATGTTTCATGTAACGTGGCAGAAAGGGGCATTTGCATGGATCATTCATATGATAGGTCTATCTTCCCACCCTTTGCTTTGCTCAGCATGACCTAACATGACTCTCATTCATTCTGAGATAGCACAGAGCCTCTGGGACCCGACCTGACTTTCTGCACACGATTCTAACTTTCCTCTAAAGACGTCTGCCATAATGAACATGCCTTATTTTATTATTATCAGAGGAAAATAGTAATAAGATAACAAATAGGTTACTTGCTCACTTAATTAGATGCTGCCAAGCGTATGAAAGAAAATCTGGGTGTAAGTGTTTTGAAAAGGATCCTGTTTCAAATTGTACAATAACTATTACTTGGAATTGAGTAAGTTCATTACAAACAATGGTCTTACTCACTAAAGGTCAGATCCATATTTTAATGACAGTATTCGATAAGCTGTTATTTTGCAACCAAATAAACCTGAAGTTAAGGAAAAATGTATCAATTGGATCCACAATTGGATAATTATCACTTAAACATCATTCAGACTTTCCTGTTTCACATAAACTTTCCCCCAGTCTTCTTTCTAGTGAGGTTCCCTATAGTTCTGCACTTCATTATAGTAATAATATGGTGTCATAAATGGTTGTACATTTCACATTTAGTCTGTGGAAAAAAAGACATGTTGCAAATGTGCCATGTAGACAGGAACAGATTTTTTCCTAAAGAATTTTAAATGTCTCTTTTTCCTTGCTGTCCTACAGCCAAAATTACTGGGGGTGATAGTTTCATACTTTACATTGTGTGGAATTTAAAAGAATTTCAAAAATACACAAAACAGACATGTTTTGACCTCTGTTGAATATTGATTATCTTTAAAAGCTGGAAGTTAAAATTGAGAGAAAAAAATTAAGCAGGGTGAGCAGACGAATGAAGTGACTATAAGAACCACATTTTCTCTTAAGATCTCAAATGTTCAACAATAGAGTGAAAACATGAATTTAGGCCTGCCAGGTGGTCTTGTTGATGAGTTTAAAGAGAAATAAGGAATCGGCAAATATTTTACAACTGCAACAAAGACTGCATAGTTATGAAACACTTGAAATTCTTAAATATGAAAGCTTTAATATTTTTGACTAGTTAATTTTTAAATGGTTCTATTACAGTGGGTTTCAATTTAGGGATATGTTGGCACATGCTTTTTGAATTGCTTATTTTATTTCTAGACTTCTTAGGACAAAGCTATTTTGCGGTTCCCACATACTGTAAGGTAATCGTGATTTAATTTATGAGAATTTCACAGAGTCACAAGTCTGATACATCACAAATAGAAATGCCTGGAAAAAGGAGTAGACATCTCTGGGAAGCTATAACTGCTAAACTTTGTGTAATACTAAATATCCTTTCATCGTAAAACAATGCTTTTTATACAAAAAGGTGAAAAAGTCATGTAAGTCACTTTATACAAAAAAATGGCACATTTATGGGGTTCCAAATGCCATAATGAAGCAGTATTTTGCAAATAGTGAACATTCATCACAATATACGGAAAACAAATGTGTATTGGTCTGTTGCCAATGCAAAAGTCTCACTACTGCAAAGAAAATCTACGTGTTTTATGATCCTATATATTCCTGCTTAATTATGGTCTCCTGTCTGATGTTAACCATAATTTCAAGGTATTTCTGTCATCATTTAATTTTAGACACACCTGTGAAGAAGGTACAAGCCAGCAGAAAAGTCCAAGGTAAAAATGTTGACTATAGAATGCACGCATATGATGCATTTTGTCCTGTTAATAGAAACCAAAGAAAAGGAGAATGTTTTAATAATACATTTTTTGGACTTTGTTGTCTTTCACTAAAAAGTTAGCCAATTTTGAGGCAAAGTACTTTGATGCTAAGAATCAAAAGATACATTGTTCATGTTCCGCACTATTGGTAAAATCTAAGAGGAACGTATGTTAAAGCAAAGGTGATTATACTCAAGTAAACAGCGAGGTTTTTTGAACCAATGAGAAAGACTCTAGAAGGGTTAAGTTGAAGACAAATCCTTGAGTAGCAGAGACAAGCAAAAGTAGGTTGCAGGTGGGCTGCATACAAACAGAAAATTATTAATATAACTATGTATAAAATTTTGATGTAATGTATAGATATATATATATATATGCATATATCACTCATGCATTATCATTTTCTTCATAACTATACTTATACACATTTTCTAATCTTCCACTTAGGTTAGCTTATATTCTGATACATTCGAAAATCAAAGATTTCCCTTGTGGAACTTAGAAAAAGTGACAAGTTTGGAATTTCTAAAATAATTACATACTAATCAGAAGAAGAAGTTGTGAGGCTTATAAATGCATTAGAGGCCAGTCCAACGTGGACATTTGAAATTAAAGAATCAACTGCACAAATATTTTTAACTGAAGGTTTTACCAGCATATCTTCTAAACATCCAAATTCATCCAAATATCCTAAAGAAAATTATCCAGCTTCAAATTATTTTCATATGCCTTTGATCAAGAAATAACCTTTATTCCATAATCATAAACAGAGGGTATTATTAAGATAACATAGCCTAATGTTTATTACAATAAGAAATGATGGTCTTTACAGATACAATCACGCACAGAATATCACATTCTTAAACTCTAAAGTTTTACCACATTTGCAATTTCTATGTTCTCCTTTCTTCCTAATCAGGATCTAGAAGACGATCAAGGGAAGGTCGTTCACAGTGAAAATCCAGAAACCCCTCAACAAAATTTTTACAATCCTAAATTGATAACCTGAGCTTAAACGAAAACGATGAGAGAAACTGACTTCAGGAAATGAACCATCAGCACAAAAACAATCATTGAATGACTCTGAATGCAAATGTAACCTTTTCTTTTCTGAATGAGGAACATGAAGGAACTGTGGGGTCAGCCTCCTGCGGGTTAGGGACTGAGGGAAATAGAACAGCTTCCGTTCCATTTTGAGATTAAAAGTTCTGGCTAACTTTGGGATCCATCAGAGAAAATCCTTGTCACCGGATTCATTACAGTTCAATACAAATCTCAGAGCGAGAGCTCTCATCCCAGTGAGAAGATTGAGCCTTGAACTTATGTAAGGGATACATAAAATGCGTGCAAGCAATACCTCTCCACAGGGAGCTAAGTGATCAGAATTGGTGCTCGGTATTAAAAAAACAAAACTTTTATTTCACAGGGCTTTGCACATTTCTAATACAATGTGGGTTTACCAGTGAATTAGATTATTTCTACAACTTATTTTGTACTCTTGAAATGTTTGTCATTTACTTCTTGCAATACATGTTTTTGATCTCAAACATTTCAATAAAACCATTTTTCAGTTGTGAAGAGAATTACTTCAAAACTAGGTAATTTCGAAAACTCAAGGTTTAAGTTAATAAGTGGTTTGCACTTGGAAACAAGACTTTTTACCTCTTTTTTTAATAACAAATACTCATTAAAGGAAATTGAACGAATTTAGTGTTTCTTCAATTTTTAAAACTCTTATGCTGTATAAAGAATCATTACACAGCGAGGCAATCATGAAACATCAACTGAATACCTATATCCTCAGAACTGTGCTCAAGCGTGAGGATTTAAAAGGTGAATCAGACGGTTACTGTCCTCAAAGAGCACAGAGACAGCTCAGCAGTAATCCACAATTCACCGTGGGCATTAGAAGAACATAAAAATAAACAAAACTACACAAGCACAAGTATATCAATTAATTCTTTGGAGGTCTGGGCTAGACTGAGGAAAAACCCCAGAGCTGCCCTTAACTAAGACTCAAGGAACGTAAGAGTCCATTGCCTGGCAAAGGAAGGGAAGAAAAATATCTGCTTCTGGAGAATCATAAAGAGATCAGTTTGATCTACTCAGATCTCAACTAGTGTCATCCTTGCTTGGACTAAATGAAATAAGGGTCATCAGGGAATGGAATCTGTGGTGAGAAACTGGGGGGGTCGGTGGCAGTGTGATGAAGCCATTCCCCGCGTTGGAAGCCAGCCACTGGGAGCACGTGAAACTGGGGAAGCCCAAACTGCAGATGCCAGTGTGGGCCACGGAAGGCCCGCTGCCATCAGAGCCTGGGAGCTCTGAAGGCCCTGGATGGCCGTCTGAGTAGGTGACAGCACTGGGTCTCTGAGGGGTGACTGGGGAGAGGCAGTGCGATACGAGGTTTGACGGCAACCCTTACTACGGAAGCGCTCAACAGCCTTAGTTGTCTGGAGTGCCCTGTGGTCTGGGACAGTAGTGAGATTTGTGTCTCCACTGAGAGCCTCTGCCAGGGGAAGAAACGCCCTAGCAACTCAGTATTCATGCAGAGGACCTTAGGACTTCAGTCTCACCTGGATGGGGTGCGCTGCCACCTTCCCAAAATGATTCAGAGGAGGAGCTTACAGAGGGGGGTGCTGCTAGAATGCAGTAAACTATTATCAACAGAGGTGACTAGAGAAAGAGCCCAGCGTACATAATCCTCCAGGAACTCACAGGTTAATTGCACAGAACAAATAGCAGGTAGATTCATTCACTGAGACCCCCGTTGGGCTTTTCGTTTGATCATGAGCCAGGTTGCAGAATTGGCTTTGAACATGGTAATCCAGGACAGTAGGGATGAGGTGCAAGTCTTTCTCAAGACTGATAACTCCAAAGCTCTGCTGCTTTTTTTTTTTAACTATAGAAAGAAGAAGATACCAGCATTGGCTAATACACATGCAAAAGTCTAGCATTACCTCTCTGGTAAAGGATAGATACTTTCAAGTAACATACGTAAATATATTTAAAGATAGAATTGAAAGAGGAATTATAAAATAGAGATAATAATACAAATAAAAAGAAATAAGATTTAAAATATATGAATATAAAGAATAATTTAAAACCCCCAAATAAGAACTTAAAACCATAAATAAATAAATCAGCAAACAAGCAAATAAATAACCACTGGAAATTCTCTCAGGACAGAATTCTAGAACCATCACAAACTTGCCCCCTTGGCTTCCTGTCCCTCAAGCATCCCTGTTATTTGTTGTCCAATGTTCAGTGTCTTGAAAAACCATTCTGTGGATATATTTTTGTTGTTGTTTCAGTCAGACAGGTGTATCTGGTTCCTCCTTTTCATTTTTCCCACAAGTGCAAGATCCTCTCGCATTGAGTTATACTAGCTCCATTTCATGATCATGAGCTGCAACTTTAAATAGGAACAGCCAACTGGAAAATGCTAATCACGAGAAGAGCCACGTGCAAAGATGTTGATGGGAAGCACACCATCCATCCTAAGTGACAGAAAAGGAATCCGAGATGAGCCCCCTTAGAGCGGGTATCATTGCTCTGCCAGGTGCCTGCATACTTCCGCATATGCTGATAGGAAACTGTTAAGGACAGTAGTTGAATTTTATTTACTGAGATTTCTTTTTATATTTGTCTGATCATATAATTCTTTTCACCTATAAACATTGAAAATAACATTTCTTAAAATTGCACACACTTCTTCATTTTTTTTTTTTTTGAGAATAAGTCATTGTCTTCACTTCTGTGGGGTCTTGGAAAGATCTTGCATAACAACTGATAAATATTCACTGATGCGATTTATATACTATGATGAGAAAAGACCAGTAATTTTCTGCCCAACCTAGATTCCAAAACAATATTTGGAAAACTAGTTCATATGTGAATAAGTCTCTTAGATGATTTTCATTTTTAGCAATAAAGCAATTCACTAATGCATTTTCTAAATTGTTATGAAGTCTCACAAAAAGTTGTGGAAACACAGAAAAATCTGAAAGATAAAGACTAATTATGGAATTTTGTAAAAGATAAATTAAACAGTTCTATGACTGCAAACTTTGGTTGCAATATAGGCAACTGTTGGTTACCATAGGGAAGGGGGTGGGAGGGTCGGTGAAATAGGTGAAGGGGAGAAAGAGGTACAAACAGCAAACAGTAAAATAAGTTAGCCATCGGAATGGAGGTACAGCAGAGAGCATAACAATAATATTGCAATATCTTGGTGTGGTAATGGGGAGCGACACTTATCACGGCAAGCAACTAGTAATGTACATAATCATCAAGTCACTGTGTTGTACATCTGGAACCAACATAATACTGTACACCAACTTCATTCCCACACACACAAAAAAACTTTGAGTGGTTGACAAGAATAAGCAGCTTGAAAAAGAAGAAATATTCCATGTTAATTAAAAACTGAATAGAAGTAGACTCAATAAATAATGTGTAAATTAAGGATCCAGTTCAACTGAAGGAATTTAGTAAGTGCTTCCTAAATGAATTATTCCTGAAAAGTACTCCCAAGTTGTTAATTTGGTTAAACTGGAGAAACTATTTATTAGGCTAAGGTTTTATTATAAAAATCAATCTAGATATTTTTCTTAATATAGCACAACAAGACATCATCTGGAAAAAAATAAAGATTGACAATCACTAATTTATCCTGGTTTAGGAGAGCTCAATGAAATTTTTCCAAAATTTTATTGAATACCATCAATATTTTAGTTTTAAGCTTTTGAGCCACAATTCCTGTTTGCTTCCCTTTTACTACAACAAAATGACCATCTGTCACACCCTTTAGATTGACGGTGTCCATGGACACAGCCATCACACAAGGACAGCAAGCGACCTCCTGGAACCCCACGTGACCACACTGGTATCTCAGTGGCCCCAAAGCTACAGTCCCCACCTTCTTAGCCACAGTAGGAAAACAAGAGAAAAATAAAATCTATGGATTTTGTTTTACTATGACCATTTTCTCTACCCAGTTTCATTGCCAAATTATAGGAAGTGCATTGGAAAAAAATAATGCAAGGATACTGAAAGATTGAAACAAAAATTAACACAGTTTATGCTACAGTACTTCTGAATATTTGAGATACCTTTTATATCTGAATTATTTAGGTAATTTCCTCAGTCCTTCCTTACCTTTGTGGTTAGAGCTATGCCTTTACATAAGTCAGATAAATTAGCCTACTGTACTCCCTTAAATACAAAAGTGATATAATCTTGAATGTAATTATGAGGTCTACCAAACCAAAATATAGCTTTATCTAGTTTGACTATAGACTAAAAGACAGGCAAACTATGACAAAATCCAGCCCACTACCTATCTGTAAATAAAGTTTTATTGGAACAAATGAGGCATGTACATTTGTATACTATCTCCAGCTTCTCTCATGTGATAAACACTGAGCTGAAGAATTGTGACAAAAATCATATGATCCACAAACTTAAAATACTTAGTACCTGTTCTTTTTCAAGAAGAAAAGTGTCCATCAAATTAGGGAGCCTTTCTGTAATTTTGTACTTAACAAAACTCACATACTGAATTCATAATTGAATATGAACTGGTTGGAACTGAATAGTAGGCAGAAATCCGTCCTTTTTACAAAAACATAAGCCCTGCTTTGAAGAGATGCATTAGAGATGACTTAATCATTTCTGGTAGTTTGGAATTCTCATATGCTTTCAACACTAGAAAAAGAATGCCAATGTATTTATTAAATTAAGGTTAATTGTACATGATTTGTGTATTTCGTTAAGAGATCAGAAATGATAAATCACTGCTTTTTGGAAACCATTTGTCAAACCAGTGACGGGGGCTGGGGGAGCAGCCTTCTGCAGCGATCTGCTCCTTAGAACTGTGGCCACACTTGAAACACCATTCCTAAAGCCTCCACTCAGTTGTCCAGGAAATAGTTTGTTTTTCTTACTGATCACTTAACTTAGGCCCTATTTCTCCTAGTCACATTCTGTATGAGGGCAGAAAGCTTGGGTAGTGGTAAAGATCCTCCAGACACTTAGCTCTGACTGCAGAGGCTTTTCCTCCACGTCTTAGATAAGCAGCACAATCCCCATGTGCACCTGGCACGGGCAGGGGCTCCAAGGTGTGGAACAAAGGCCCCGAGCTGCCTGCCTACACACGGAAGTGGAGAGAAGAAAAAGGCAGTCTTGTATGAAAAGGGGGAAATCATCCATTAGACGGATGTATCAAGAGAAGACATATTAGGTCTAAGGGGAAGGGAAAAAGTGGAGGAAAAAGAACTGAGAGCATTGTGGACTAGCTCTGATGAGTGAAGGAGGTCCTGAGGAGCCACAGACGTCTGAACAAAAAGTTCAGGCTCTGTTACGTGCAAGCACTCACATGCACCTTACCATTTCCATATAAATTCATTACTGATGTCTTTTCAATAATGCATGCACAAAGATCCATTTAAAAAAGTTTTGTGATTATGTGCATAATCAGAAAGTCTATATCATACAAAAAGTTATGGATTACAAAACACCTGTAAAATTACTTTATTAGTATTTTGGATAAGTTTTCCAAAATTTTTACTCTCGTTTCATTTAGTCACAAATTCAATACTGAGACTCAGTAGGTGAAAAGCCCAGTTCCAATCACTGGTGACATACCTGGGGAAAACCAGACAAGATCCCTACCTCAGGAGTTCACACTGTAGTGAGGGGGGGA